GTGGTGGCCAGCGACTGCATCTTCGCGATGCAGACCGAGACAGTCGTCGACGACCCGGACGATCCGTTCGCCGGCGATACTGTCGAACTTACGTTCACAGCATTTTGACTCTGCGATGCCATTTTCGGAGAAACGAGCTACAAGGGAGCAGCGTGCCCTCCCCGAGGAAAGAGCGTGATTTCTCGAGGGGAGGAGTACTGAAAAGTACTAGAGGAAAGTATCCCGCGGTTAAACCGTCTCAACCTTTGGTGTTACCGTTTTCATTTGGTCGAGGATGTTTATTTCGGCCCAGAGAGCCAACGTCAGAACAAGCCGCATCGCTCCGCGGCTTCTTTCTTATGTTTCGAACTCGTTTAAATCATGCCGAACACATTTAATCCGGCATTTAACTTTATTCCGCGACTATTGACAAATCAAGCACAAAGCGAAGTTCACGGATAGGAGCCTATCTCGTGAAAGGTGCTACGAGCTACGAGATCGTCTTATCGATTAAGCTGGTATCGAATGTTAATATTCGATTCGATTCTCAGTTTGCGCGGCGGTAAAATTCAAAAGTCTCGAATGTGTGGAAATATCAGAGCACGCAGTATGTTCACATTGAGGGATCACATCATCCATGGAATGTGTGGAGACTGGGTTCGCTTGTTTGGACAAGCGAACATTCGAAAATTAACCGCTGTACGAGACAGAATTATAAGAGCGTAATAAAAGAGATTGAGTAAACCGATAACGGGATAGTGTATAAATAATTCCTGTCCTACATGATTTTATAAATAATCCGCAGTAATACCCACATCTACTCAAGTAGTTCTAACAAGAATCATTACTAACATCTTAATACTATTCAACAAGAATCATTTCTAACATCTTAATAATTTCATAAGTGATTCGCAAGAGATTTCATAGATAAAATGAATTTGTAATTATTTTAAGGATAAGGACTTTAATACTTCTGATGGTATTGATTATGTCACTGACGATAGCGATGATAAAGTCTCTCGCTTAGTGACTTACCGTGGTAACACGAGTACACATGCGTTTATTGATAACTAATGAGTTAATGCAAATCGATAGAGGAACGATGCTTCGTGTAATTCAATAGCGACGTCAGTTTTGTTGCAGGGGTAGATTATGAAGACCTGTTGTGCGAACCAATATTATAGTCTCCTTAGAACTTGATATAGATTAGATGATCGACCGAATATGTGGTAGTACAAAGGTACTCGATCTAAACCCATCACTGTCGACATCGAGTTCCTCGAATCCGAAACCATTATACACTTTGAGTGCTCCGTTCCATGACTGATGTTAACTGCAATTATATTCATATCATGTATTATACCGACTAATTCAATAATATTCAAACTACTGTAGCAATCAATTCTATAACGTTAAAGTTCTTTTCATAAATTAGTTTTTTGTCCAACAATAAAATCTTTGCAATATATTTTTGCAGTAGTAGTGCTCAACGTTCGCCCGTTAAATTTAGTTGGCACAGCATTATCGTGTAACTAATGGTTTAAGCCCGTTCGCGAATCCAGCCCTTAGTCCTCGGTGGCATGCGTGTCACGTTTCACTCTTCAACGAGCCTTGGGCAAACACGCCTGTTTGCAATATCCTCCGGATCATAACGAGCTGTCTTATCTCCCACTGTTGTTCGACACAAATTCATTGCTCCGATTCCGACGTCGTCACTAATCAGCCTTCCTTTTTTCTGTTTCAGGTGAGTCAAAGACGTGTCCATTCTTTATGTACAGAAGGGATCCGTGCGGCTGAATAGAAGATTAGAACGATCAGGGTTTCAGAGAAAGAAACGTACGAAACGAAGTACATATTTTTATTCAATTCGATCTTCTGAGACGGTAAATAGTCGAACATTTTAAATCGCTATTTGTCCTACTCTGCGTTTTAATAGCTCTGTCATAACCAGAGTTTCTTTATGGCATTAATATAATACAAACGGTTCCTCGCGAGACTCAGGGTGGAAAAGAATCGCGTAGGAATACACACGGCAGGTGCATTAGTTGAAGTCGTGTGTAAGGTGTCCCCAGGAGAAATCATAAGGTCTTACCCCTCGGCCCTTCGCAGCGGCCGGTATACCCGCGAGGGTGAGTGGGCCCTAATAAATCCTAATAGTAAATCACCCCCCTCGCCCCTCCGCTATTATTCATACTCGCGGCGCGTGGTGCAGACGGAGCCGAGCTTTGTTTTCGAGAAATACTAGACGGGCTCGCGTTTCATTAAATGTGACGTGACCTCCTGAGCGACGGCCACTGGCAGTTAGGTAATTGCCTCGCATCGGGGGCTGAAACGGTATCGATTATTTTTTTTCCTTTCTTTTTAAATCAAACTGGCAGCCTTTAATTAGGGTAATATCTATCCTGGTTAGCCACCCTCGTCTTATGCCGCGCCGGTCTCTGACGTCTGTAATTTGTCCCGTTGCGTTACCCGGGACCGCTCTGTGATCTCGTTGATCCGACGTTAAGTTCTTGAGTTTATTTTTCCAGTTACGATTACGAACAGAAGTTGCTTCCGTTACCGATAGGATTATACATCCGGTTTCTTTGCTTCATCCTGTTAAATTATTCTCTTCATTCTCCATGTTAAATTTAGCACGCAATCAATAATAGACATGTTCGATATAACCTTTTTCGTCTCACGTGCAGAGAATATTTTATAACATAAAATAATTGTAATGGATTGAGACAGTATTGTCAGAATTATTCACAATTATTATTCAACAATTCATTGTCTAAAAGCATATAATTTTTATTCGTATTTTTTGGTATCGAAAAATAAAGTTTCCTCGGTACTGACGGCGTCTAGTGGCGTGAATTGAGAATTTATCTCGCATGGAAGCAAAGGGCAGCTATTCGCCCTGCGGCAGTGGTCGTAGTGCGCGATATCAATATCCGTTTTGTCGAATTATGTTAATGTCTGTTCGGCGTCAGCGCAAAATCAACGGGCCGGACGCCTTGCCTACGTGTAACCGAAATGTAATTACAAACGGTTGGACCACCGGTAAACACGTGCGTCTGATGTATCCGTGTACACGCGTGCTCGCTGCACCGTTGCGAGCACGCACGCATGTACCGGATGTTCGCTCTCTTGCTTATACGGCATCCGCGCCACGTTCCAGCGTCAACGCGAAAGGACAATAATCGTACACGACCGCGAGGATATTACGAGGGAATTCTCAGCTTTTCACGCGTTCCCACTTTTGTTCTCCGATTCACAGCAATTTTACAAACGGGTCCCGGGTTTTTGTGCGATAATTACACAACATAATGCGATCTTCACAGCGATTTACGTTAACGACGCGATTGTCCAGAGCATTTTAACTGTGGTAATGCGCCTGAAACGACGTTTAACAGGATCGTTTCAATGTATCTATTCTGGATAGTATCTCCATTTTTAAAGTCGAATATGTGACGCTGTTTTAGTAATTGATTAGATCTTATAGGTCAAGAGTTTAATTTGATGATAGCCTTATTGAATTGAATTAATTCATCTCTTATATTAATTATGTTCATCATCAAAAATATTCCTGTCTTTATACATTTTTGACGATTCATATCTTTGAATACATTTATCTGAACTTTAATCTTTCTCATTACTCATCCATACGCAGATAAGTTCATCGTTTCATTATATTATTGATACTCTAAAATTTCCAAATGTATCAATTTTCCAAAAAGCAATGTCAAATGGCCAAACGAAACGAGATGAGAATATGCGGTTCCTAGAAATTGGTACGATTCTATATTTATTTAGAATGTAATATGAGAAATTTGAAAAATAATTGGAAAGATAAAATAAAATGAATAGATAAATACGTCTTAATTGCGAAATAAATAAACCTCTCCCTACTATAAATGTAAAGTAAAAGTACTCATGAAACATTTTTTAGTTGGTGTATAAGGTAAACGCTGGATTTAAGTAATTAGAAGAGTTAATATTGAATGTTTGCATACTGTACGATTTTAGCTGATGTTTCTAGATCAAATAATTAATTATAAAATACTTATTTCATGTAAATACAAAAAGTGAACTAACAACATGTATATTTATTGTGAAACAAACCAACCCCTGGTGCCAAGTCTGGTGTTTCATATTCGGTGCCCTGATTTCGAAATAGATATCAATCTCTTAGGAAACAACTTAACCATAAGTACGTTTACAGTCGAACATGCAATTAATGGAGGCTCTATACGTGTCTTATAAACCGGTACAGCGAGATAAAGACAGGTTCCTAGATTTGAAACATTTGAACTGTTCCATAAATCAGAACAGTAAAAAAACTGATCTACACAATATGTAACAGCCGTACATATATTTCATTCATGTTACACTTATTTTTTTATTTTATTATATTTATTACTGTTTCAAAAGGCGATCATAATTAAGACGATGTTTCATAATAGATACTTTTGTGATACCTTAGGATAACAATAGCAGACGATCAATTAAATATCGGGAAATACGTACTGATGCGTTGACCCCTACCTTGTGTTCAATTACCGTCTGGCAACTGAGATCATTGCGGAAGAGACCGATACCTGCCGCAGTTATCTTCTTCGTTTTCTTTTTTTTTTCCTGCTTCTTTCCCTTTCCCTCTTCTTCTTCTCCTTCTTTGGTTTTGGTTGGAGAACTGAACTTCTTCCGAATATATATCAGAAGGTTAATTCGAATTCTTCAGACCAGCTGGCGTGATTGCAAGCAATTACGCAGTTTCTTACGTAGCCCTTTACCCTCGGACCAATTATTTGCTTTTGCCGAAATTAACCGTAAATTGCGGAAGGGACTCAGAAAGAGCCTAGCGTGTAATCTTTCCCTCGTGTCAGAGGTCAATCTGACTCATGATTTATAATGTCATTACATAATTAGAACTATCGTTTTACGTTCCCACACAATTATTTGAGTAACTATTATAATTTAAACCATGAATCTTTCATTACGCGCATGAAAAATGTACTCTTTCGTACGAAACAACTACGAATCATTATTCAACAATTGATAATTTAGCTCGTTTCACACAAGAACGAGAAAGTGATTGTTCATGTTCTCTTTTTAATCCCCAATTTAACTCTAATATCCATATCACTTTCTACTAAGTCACAAGTGTTACATTTATCTTGTTTGCAGTTCGATTCAAAGAAAATCCCATCATATAAAATTCGGTGTGTTCAACTATCGTCGGTTAGATATAACCGGTCTATATTTCTGCGGCGAAAGATAATATCGGGAAACATCGTAACGTGTGAAACAAGCGTTCCGAAACGCGGTCGAACAACAAACGCCGCAAACAATACTATTCGATCGGTTTATCGACATGATCTATTAGCACGAAATATCGGTTAACGCAGATAATAACGTTGATGCCGCAAAATTACTATTCGTTCGGCGCTCTAGTTTCGCAGCCGATAATAAATCTGTCATAGTTGCTGGGATAACGTGCGCTTTGATCGAAAAATGAAATAACAATTTCTGTTTATAGTCGTATGAATCGTTTTATAAAAACAACGGTAAAGTATTGGAATTTTAAGAGTTATTAAATGTTATATTAAAAAACATCGTATAAAATTTTTGACATTTTGCGACGCTATTAAAAAAGTTATTAAATTTTCAATTCTTATGCTCATTGATAAA